GGTACCGCGCGCTGCAGCTGCACTTCCACTGGGGCAGCCTGGCCGGGAACGGCTCTGAGCACACCCTCGACGGGCGCCAGCTGCCCATGGAGGTAGGCGAGAAAAAGCACCCACCGGGCTCCCTGGGTGCCCAAGTCCTCGGTGTGATGGGAAGGTGTGATGTGTTGTGTCCCAGGGCTGCCATCCGGGGGGGACTGGGCTCGGTGACACTGCACCGGTGGGTTTGGCTGTTCGCTCCGTCACCACAGCCTTGCGCTGGGGGGGGGATACAGACATCCACCGCACGGGGCACCGGGGGGGTAAAAAGCAGCTGACGTGAGACTTGAGGTTTTTCCTCACCGTGCAGGGGCCAGGCTGCCTGGCTGGAGGCACCCAGAAGGGTTTGAAGGCTCTATGCCCCCCGGGCCCGCGCGCTGAGTCGGGGAATGCGAGCGAGAGCAAGTGGGAGCACGCTGTGCCGAGCGCGTCGGGATCTTTCTGGGGGAAACAGGCTCTGTACCTCTGAAATATTAATTATCTACCAGAGGAGAGTGAAATTTATGTATTGAGGCTGGTGGGTGCCCCGGGCCCCCTGGCCCCCTTTCCTCACCCCCTTCCAAGGATGCTCGCTTCATCGGGGTGGTGTGACCCTCTGAGCTGCTGCCCTATGGAAGCGTCCATGGGACTGGGGGGGCTTTTTTGGGGGGTGATTGGCTTACTGCCCGGCTGGTTGGGGAGATCCATGGGTGAGCACCCCACTGCTGGGAGGGTCAGCCAGTGGCAGCTGCCCATGTTTGGCCCCTCCGTGCTTTCCCCAGCTTCACATTGTCCACATCAACGTCAAGTACCGGACGCTGGCAGAGGCCAAGGGGCATCCCAACGGGCTGGCCGTCCTCGGCTTCTTCTTCCAGGTGGGTCTGGGGGGGCTGCTGCTCTGCCTGCGATGCTTGGCGGGACAGGGTGACCCAGCTCTGCCCTGCCTGGGCTCTGCCCTGGTCCAGCCACTTGTTCTCCCCTCCGCAGGTCTCTGAAACCCCCAACACCAACTACAACACCATTGTGGCGGGGCTGAGGAACGTCTCCCACGCTGGTGAGTTGCCTCCTCGCCAGGGCAGGGGCAGAAAGAGGAGAGACCCCCATGCGGGAGGGCAGGGGTGCACCCTGGAGGGTTGGGTCGGGGGGACCTGCCCGTCCATGGGGCTGCCTGGCTGTGGGGAAACTGGTGGGGGTGGCCCTGCTGTCCCCCTGGTGTCCTCGGCATGGGCTGAGTGCCGATGTGTCACCCCGCAGGGGACTCTGTGGATTTGGCCTCCACCTTCCGCCTGGGCACGCTGCTGCCGCACGCCGGCCACCTCTCCAGGTACTACCGCTACCAGGGCTCCCTCACCACCCCCGACTGCAGCGAGGTCGTCGTCTGGACCATCTTTGAGGAGCCGGTGGAGATCGGCCAGGAGCAGGTACCGGTGTGCATGGGGGGGCGAAGGGCAGCCCCTCTCCTTGTGCTGCACCTGACCCCTCGCAGGGAAAGTCACCTCCACACTAATGCTTCCAGTACCCAGGCAATTAATTAATTTTATGAGGGTTAAGTAATGGAGCTGTGGCCACCTTTGTGCTGCACCTGACCCCTCGCAGGGAAAGTCACCTCCACACTAATGCTTCCAGTACCCAGGCAATTAATTAATTTTATGAGGGTTAAGTAATGGAGCTGTGGCCACCTGGGAGAAATCCCTTCCGTAGTGCTCTCCTGCCTGACCCTGGTATTCAGAAAGCAAAATGGGAACGAACCCATTGGAGCTCACGAGGGGCTGCAATGAGGTGGGTGGGTGCATGGATGGATGGAGGGATGGATGAACGGATGGACAGATGCATGGATGAAGTTCTCCTCTGCTGCCCAAGCATCTCAGCAGACGTCACTCCTTGAGGGGTCATGGGCCAGCCACTCTTTAAGTGCTCAGCGCAGGCACCGAAACACAAGGAGCTCCTTTAAAACCCAAGACCCGATCCTTGTCAGGACCTGCCTCCTGCACTCACCCTGCGGGTCTGGTTTCGGGAGAGCAGTGAGGGGTGGTGGGAGG